ACATTCCTTTCTCATGTTTGCACTTTGGCAATCTGCCTGTGTCCTCAAACACCCTTCTCCCTTTTTCCCTCCTCTGATCTCACTCTGTGCCTCCTTCTCTCCACTACCCCCATTGCCCGGACCCTGGGGAGGAGAATTGCAGAAAAATCTAAGTAGAGGTGTTTCACTGTCTCTCTCTCCCTCCCCCCACCCCCTCCAGGCACCTTATCTGCGTTCAGGATGGATGGTGTGAGCACAGCCATCTTGCTTCTCCTCCTGGCTGTCATCTCTCTAGCCCTGAGCTTCAACTCATGGGGCAAGGGCCAGCTACCTCCAGGACCCAAACCTCTCCCTTTCCTGGGAAACCTGCTGCAGCTTCGCTCCCAAGACTTGCTGACCTCACTCACCAAGGTGCAGGGAACTCGCCTTTGGTATAAGGCAACGGGGAAGTAAAGGGAGCGCCGAGCACCCATGAGCACCGTTCCCCTTGTAAATTCTCTCTCTTCTGCCTCCAGCTAAGTAAGAAGTATGGATCCGTGTACACGGTGTACCTGGGGCCCAGACGAGTGGTGGTCCTCAGCGGATACCAAACTGTGAAGGAGGCTCTTGTGGACAAAGGGGAGGAGTTCAGTGGCCGTGGCTCATACCCCGTCTTTTTCAACTTCACCAAGGGCAATGGTAAGCCTGGCCCCCACCTCCTCCAGACTCTAGTCTTTTGCAGATGGAGGAAGGAAGCAAGGGTGAGAGTGTCGTCTCCATGACATTCAGAGCAGCTGATATCACTACTGACGAGTGGTTCTGACTCTAACTCCCACTCTCCCCCTCCATGTCTGCTGGGTCCATCATCCCAAGCTTTACTCTGTCTCAATTACATCTTCAAATTTCCGCTCAGTCAAATAGCCAAGTATTGACCCTTGACCCATCTGTCTACCTCAACCCAACCCCAGTCTCTATCTGGCTTACCTCCATGTTCCCCATTCAAATCCCATCTCATTTGGAAGAGGAGGGGTGTTCGCCTGCATGTTGTTCGAGACAGGGTCGGTCTCCACCTGTCTCCCTGCCCCTGTACTGGGAATACAGTCATGGTCACAGCCAGCACACATGGGTGCAGGGGACAGAACTCAGGTCCCCATGCTTGTGATAGCGGTCTCCTTACCCTCCTCCGCCTTCATCATCTTCTCTTCCTCAATGGCTAATTCTTGATGAGGTCAAAAGAAATCCAGGGAGCTGGGCGTTGGTGGTGCATGCCTTTAATCCCAGCACTCGGGAGGCAGAGGCAGAGGATCTCTGTGAGTTCGAGACCAGCCTGGTCAACAAGAGCTAGTTCCAGGACAGCCTCCAAAGCCACAGAGAAACCCTGTCTCGAAAATAAAATAAAAAAAAAAATCTAAGACTTTACCCCATGATTCCTAGTTCAATGAGAAACACAGGCCATCATGAGTCTGTGACATCCCAACATGGTCAGGACTGGGCGGGGGAGCTGCAGAAACCCAAAAAAAAGTGTCTGACCCATCCAGGGAGGAATTCCTGCCCCAGAAGCCCTCCTAACTGATGCTTAAATGATGAAGTCAGGTCAAGAGGGAGTGAAAGTGTTCTAGGGCTGGGGATAAAGCACTTGCTACAGAAGCTTGAGGTCAGAAGTTCAAATCCCCAGCACTCACATGAATGCCAAGTGGGCAAGGCTGCTGTCTATAATCCCAGCACATGGGAGGCAGAGATAAGGGGTCCCCGGAGCTGGAGAGCTAGAGTAGCTGGGTTGGCAGACTCTGGACTCAAATGAGAGGCACTGCTGCAAACGGGAAAACCAATGATGTTAATAATAGTAATAATTTTAACTACAGCAACAACATAGGGCCAGTGTGATGGCTCAGGAGGTAAGGGTGCTTGCTGCCAAGGCTAACTGCTTGACTTCAATCCCTGGAGCCCACATGGTAGAAAGAGAAAACTGCTTTCACCACTCTTTTTCCTCACTGACACACACACACACACACACACACACACACACACACACACACACACACTAAATAAATGTAACAAAAAGTAATAATGATAAAAGTAGAAGTAAAAAAGAAAGCCAGGCATGGTAACAAACGTAATCCCAGCAGTCAGTGGACAGAAACACAGGAATCTTCACAAGTTCGAGTCCAGCCTGGTCTATACATGATGAGTTCCAGGCCAGCCAGGGCTACATAGGAAGACAATGTCAAGAAAAAAAGTAAAAGGGGTGTTTGAGAACTGGCTCAGTGACAGAGGTCTGTGTGGCCCCTGGTTCAATCAATCCTAGGACCAAAAATCAAAAAGCCTGGGGGGTGGGGGGCGATCTGACTGTGGAGGGTTGTGCAAAAGCTCAGAGACCAGGTTTGTTCTGGGGTGATTTCACGGTGTCTGGTATTTATTCTTTCTTGCTTATCTCTCTTATTTGCGAACTCAGTAATCAATCATCAGAAGGTCCACTGGCAATACCAAGGTCACAGTGCCAGGTCTTCACCCTGCCTTTCTTGTAGCCCAGAGTGACCAGGTCTTTTCAGGTGGATACAGAGGTAATATCAGGTAACAAATGTCCAGAGGCGCGCTGATCAGGTAATAAACGTCCAGGATGCTGCAGAACCCAAAGGAGGCATCTGGCCTAGCCCCAAGGGTCAAGAAGGATTTGCTGGAACAATCAGCAGAGAGTCTAAACCGAATCCTCCTCCCGGCAGGCCATCAGGAAGAGATCGTGGCTGTGGTTCGGGATGGGTTGACTGGCAGTTGAGGTTGCCATTCTCCTTCCTCTTCCCAGGCATTGCCTTCTCCAATGGAGAGCGCTGGAAGGCCCTCAGAAGGTTCTCAGTCCAAATCCTAAGGAACTTTGGCATGGGGAAAAGGAGCATCGAGGAGCGGATCCTGGAGGAGAGCAGCTTCCTGCTGGAGGTGCTACGCAAAACGGAAGGTCAGACCACACCCCGGGGATCACATCCATCCTACTCAGAGATTCGAGAGCCTGGGTGTGAACAGAAAACTCTTGGAGGCCTCTCACGCTGTCCGTAACGAGAACTATCCCTCCCGGGGCATGGGGTTATGGTCAGGGCTCTGGTGTGTTGTTGTCTGACGCGTTCAGAGCCCAGCTTGTTTGTTTCTAGTGCGTGATGGTGACAACATTCTCAAAAACTCACTACAGGGCTGGAGAAGGGGTGCGGGAGTTAGGACCAGTTGCTCATGCAGAGGACCCAGGTTCAGTTCCCACCGCCTGCATGGTGGTTCACCACCAAATGTAACTCCCATTCCAGAGAATCCGGTACCCTCTTCCGACTTGCACAGGCATCAGGCAATGCATATGGTGCATATACATACCCGCAGGCAAAACACTCACACACAAAATAAAATGAATAAATCTGATTTAAAATGTCGGGGAAAAAAAAGCAGGAAGAGCCAGGAGGACCAGGAGTCCAAGATCATCCTTAGCTAAGTAGTAAGTTTGAAACCAGCCTAGGTTACATGAGACCCTATCTCAAAACAAAAAAAAGAAAAAAAAAACAAAAACAAAAAGAAACCTCTAGCATACAGCATACATTCACATATACCAGGTACTTTCTGTTTTTCAGACACCCCACCAGAACAATATATCTTTGGGCATTTGCTTTTGGCTTCGTGTAGTTCACCCCTCTATTCATTAGTTATTTTACTATTTAAAAGAAAAAATCTTGAAAAAGGAAAACACAACTACCACAGAACTGGGGACATGGTGACCCAATTAAAGAATACATGTTAGAGTCACACCATGAACAGGGCTGTGATGATGCACATGACTTCACGGAGATGCTCATGGATTTGCTGTAAGATTTCATTTGTGTGAAGTTCAAGAATGGACTACCTGCCTAGAATGCCCCAGTGAGGGGCTGGGGGCGTGGCTCAGTGGTAGAGGTCCTACCTAGAATCTCCCAGTGAGCAGTTGAGTGTAGCTCAGTAGTAGGGCACCTGCCTAGAATCCCCAGTAACCGTGCGGGGACTTGGCCCGGGGTGAAGTACTTGCCTAGTGTGCACAAGACCTCCGTTCCATCTCAGCACTACAAAGTACTAACAAAATCACAGTCGCCTATGGCACCAAGATCCTTGGGGATAGTTATCTCTGAAAATTCATTAGCACTCAGAAGGCTGAGACAGGAGGATGGCGAATTCAAAGCCAGTCTTTACTACACATCAAGATCCTGAGGGAGGAAAAAAAAATTGTGTAAGTTGATGAAGTCTCTTTATCTGCCCCATTTTCCAGAAGGAAGTGAAATGCAGAATGCTGAAATAGCAACCTTTTCCTTGCTCTCCAAATCGTACTGGCTTTGGAGAAAATAACCAATAATGATAACATAGCACATGATGATAAAGGGATTACATGTGATATAAGTGAAATCATAGCTGCTTATATCGTTTTTTTAATGCCCTGACATTACTGCAAAGGCACCAGTGAAATGGCTCAACAAAGGCACTCAGCATGAGTTCAATCCCCAAAACCCACACTTGCATGCCACCACACACAAATAATGTAGCAGGTTTTGTTTGCTTGCGTGTTTCTTTTAGCTAGGTTGTCACTCTGTAACCCAGTCTGTTTGGGTTCAAAGAAGTTCTCCTGCCTCAGTCTCCTGTGTGCTTGGATGAAAGGTGTGAGACACCTTTCATTCTCTTACACGGTTCTATAGGTCTGAAGTAAACAATGGGTTGGTAGGATGCTCTCTTGTGCTCTCCCCTCTCTCTCTCTCTCTCTCTCTCTCTCTCTCTCTCTCTCTCTCTCTCTCTCTCTCCTCTCTCCCTTTCTTCTTCTTCTTCCTCCTTCTTTTCTCCATCAACACACTTTTTATTTTTCAAGACAAGTTTCTCTGTGCAGCCCTGGCTGTCCCGGAACTCACTCTGTAGACCAGGCTGGCCTCGAACATAAAAACTAAGTCCACACCAGAATGGAAGCAAAGTCTACCTTCAGATCCTACTTTCTGGACTGTGCCCTTATGTCTTAGATGTTGTGTTGAAATATAGAGTTTGTTTGGGTTTGGTTTGTTTGTTTTTCAAAACAGAAACTCTGTTGCCCAGGCCGACCTAGAACTAGTAAGGAACCTCCTGCCTCAGCTTTCCCAAGTTCTGGGATTACAGTCCTAGCATTTGTTTCTTTTATTGTACCCCGTAGTATGCTTGGCTGTTAGCTGATTCGAGGCTATGTTTGTGGTCTATACTGGGGTAAAGTTGTCCTCAGGCATTGTGTGTGGGACTGCACTGTGAAGTCTGCTGAGATTCAATGTTGACTTCCTGTGTGTCACCTCTTCTGTGGCCTAGCTGTGTGTCTCATGATGTCACAGTGTGTTCTGCACTATCCAGTGAGCTGCCATGAATTACCATTCTGTGCTGTGAGGCAGGAGGATGGAGCTGGATGCAGACATCACGAGGCAGTACATTGTGGCTGTCTCTTGGGATGTTTGTGGGCTGACTGTGTTGGCCTTTGTTGTGTTTGTCCGCTTGGTTGACCAGGAACTCCTGATCCTGCCTCTACCTCCTAAGAGTTGAAATTGCAGATGTCAAACATTGTAACCAAACGTCTAGTTTGTTTAGGATTTATTTATGTGTACATGTGTTTATGTGAATGTATGCCAAGTATGTGGGGGAACAGGGGGTGCCCACGGAGGGCCAGAAGGAAGTGCCAGATGCCCTGGAGGCAGGCAGTTGCAGGCAATTGCTAACAGCCTGGTGAAGTCTACCTGAGTCAAAGCTCCAGTCCCCAACTGTCTGATTTTGAGACAATTTTGAGCATGTAGCCCAGACTGAACTTAAACTTGCAGCCATCCTCCTGCATCAGCCTCTCCCCTGGGGTTACAGGTGCTTGCTGCCCTGGAAGACTGGTGGTTTTGTGAGCAAGTGTTTGTTGGGATACCTAGCGATGCCACGTGCTGTGTTGTGGGAAGTGTCATGTGTCCAAGAACAGCCCGTCCTTGGGTGATAGGTATTCTAGTTCTGCAAGATATGGTGAGTTCTGTGTGGTGGGTGACATTGCCAAATACTTTGGAAGTGTCATATTGCACGCTGAGTGGCCACATGTGAGTGTTCCGGACTGCAGGACACAGTGTCATGGGTGGGTGAACTCTGAGTAAACAGGAGTTGAGACAACACTTGGCCTGGCTGTGGCAAATTTTGCATTGCCAAAGCTAGACACTGACGCACTCCACCTGCGCTCCTCAGGCAAACCCTTCGACCCTGTGTTTATCCTGAGCCGGTCAGTGTCCAACATTATCTGCTCCGTCATCTTTGGAAGCCGCTTTGACTATGATGATGAGCGCCTGCTCACCATTATCCGATTTATCAACGACAACTTCCAGATAATGAGCAGCCCCTGGGGCGAGGTCAGTACTCGGAGGTCGGTTAATCAGAGACGGATAGGGGGTGTCCACAGGGCCCAACCATGGAGAAAGCAGCTGCAGGGGCTGGTGAGGTCAACCGTGCCTAGCATCTCAGTACCTAGGAGATTGAGGCTGGCAGGATTGCCATGCGTTCCAGATCAACCTGGACCCAGGGCTGAAGAGCCAGACCACGGCTCAGACAAATGAGTAAAACCAACAGAGAAGAGATGTAACTGGCCCGCCCTGCCCCCCATTCTTACTTTATAATCCGACCCCCAGCTGCTCAGTCCACCCATCCCCCTCTACCCTGACCCTCCCTGCCACTGTCTTTCCACCCTTCAGAACTTGGCTGTCCCTGCCCAGACCCAGTCAGCGCCTGTGTGATCTGTTTACCTCACTTAGCCTGTGAGCCCCCAGTCACACACCCTGCTGAGTGGCCGGCTTCACGAAGCCCCTCCAACTCTGGTCCCCAGATGTACAACATCTTCCCGAGTCTCCTGGACTGGTTGCCTGGGCCGCACAGACGCATGTTCCGGAATTTTCGAGGCATGAAAGAGCTCATCGCCCGCAGTGGCCGTGAACACCAGGACTCCCTAGATCCCAACTCCCCCCGGGACTTCATCGATTGCTTCCTCTCAAAGATGGCACAGGTGAAAACCGTCCCTCTGGATTCCCGGAGGGGAAGCTGTGGCCCCTGGCCCTGCTGACCTGCTGCCCAGAGCCACCGCCAATGAACAGACCCGTTAAGCGGTTGTGGTTTGCCTAGCTGTTCACCTAGGGCCTTGCCACTTTTAATCTCTCCTTCACACTCCTCTGCTCCCGCGAAGAGAAGTCAGCTCAAGAAGGGACAGAACTGGTGGTGCCTGGTCTGTAGCAGTCGAGCGGGTCACACAGGCTCCAAAGTGTAGGATTCCCCCAGGCCCTGGCTCATATAGCCCGACTCTTTAACCCCGACAGGAGAAGAAAGATCCACTGAGCCACTTCCAAATGGATATCAGCCCTATCTGCTCGGAACAGCTCTGTGGTCAATAAGCACAGATATGGATGCCCAATGAAGTGTTCAGGAAACGGCCCCCTTTCTGCTATTGAGACACTCAACACTCACCTTGCTAAGCAAGTGGCAAAAGCTGATTCAGGGACATGGGGGCCCCAGACTGGAAGGAGACCATTGCACTTCGTGTTGGCATTCTGTAGGGCAGCACTCTCCCACTCTTCTCGGCCTCTAGCCAATCTAGATGGGGACAGGGAGGAGAACAGGGACAAGTAACTGCTGGGATTAATCTGGTAATGAGGCACCTGATGCCGAGAGCCTGCTAACATTAGCCTAGGGAGAGAATTAGCCATTTATAAACTCTATAGATAAATTTTTGCTTCAATAATTAAGGCAAGCAAGACTGCTTCCACCAGCCTTGGCCAAGGCCAAACATTCAAAGCCAAACACATTTTCTCATATGGTTAAGTACAATTTATAGGTCTATGGGGACTAAGGTAGAAACACCTACAGCTTGAAGATAAGAAAAGCAGGCTTGCCAGTCAAGAGGTAGTAATGCACCCCTTTAATCCCAGCACTTGGGAGGCAGAGGCAGGTGGATCTCTGTGAGTTCGAGACCAGCTTGGTCTACAAGAGCTAGTTCCAGGACAGCCTCCAAAGACACAGAGAAACCCTGTCTCAAAAAAAGCCGAAAAGAAAAGAAAAGCAGGCTTAAAGCCCCAGAGTTAGTAACTCCAACCCCAGCAGCCCAGGCCCCTGAGCCAGGGCCCACTCATCTGAAGCAACACAGGTCCAGGATGGCTGGAGCCATTCTGCAAGAGCCAACACCTACCTGACAGCAGCTAGGTGACAGTCGTAATGCACAATGTTGAAATGGGACACAGTACTGTAGCCCTGCTGTTTCCGGGGCTTGTTCTCCATCTCCTCCAAAGCTACCCGTTTGGTGAAGGTGTAAATGCCTAAGACCTTTGTGGGCTACAAAGACAACACAGAAAGGGGGGTGAGGAGAAATCCCCAGTCCAGCTGTGCAAGGAGCTGACAAGACATGTAGAACTGAGCATCTCCCTTCAGATGGGTTTCCACGGGAAAGTGGTCACTCTGGTGTGCAAGCATCATTTGCTGCCCTCTGCTCACTTGAGGCTCAATTCGCGGGGGGGGGGGGGGAGGGGCAGAAGAGGGTGTGTGCTCTCTGGAGCTAGAGTTACATATAGTTGGGCAGCACCTTGTGGGTGCTGGGAATCGAACCCATGTCCTCTTCAGGAGCAATACGTGCCCTTAACACCTGAGCCATCTCTCCAGCCCTGTTTTTTACAATTTTGAGGCAGAAGTCTCTTGCAACCCAGGTTGGCCTCAGCCTCCCTATGTGACTAAGGATGGATTTGAACTCCTGATCCTCCTGCCTTCACCTCCTGTGAGCTGGGATTACAAGCGTAGGCCACTCCCACCCCCGGTTTAGCCACCTTAGACTCTTAAAAACAAAGTCCTTTCCCAGAACCCCATCCATGCCAGAAGGGATTGGAATGCCATACTCCTTCCCTACCTCAAGCCCCTTCCTTGGACCCCTCTCCAGAAGCACCAGGGTCTGGGGCTTCATCTGAACATATCCAGAGGCTAAAATACCATTCTTGGAGGACCCCTCCCTCAGAAATCCTACATCTGCTTCTACAAGGCTTGGGGCCAGGGGTGGCCCCCTCCTGTTTCTCAGACCCCAGCACAGCTTCTATCACCCTAGGATCCCTGGATGGAGTCTGTGCGCCACCCTGGCCTCCTTCTCAAGCCCCTAGAAGCTCCATCTTTGCAGCATGGAAACTTGAGTTTGAGGGAAACAAAGCAACCCTCTTCCAGAATGGAGAGACGCTTTAGCAGCTTTAAGGGCACCGGCTGCGCTGGGCATTGGTGGCGCTGCACGCCTTTAATCCCAGCACTCGGGAGGCAGAGGCAGGCGGATCTCTGTGAGTTCGAGGCCAGCCTGGTCTCCAGAGCGAGTGCCAGGATAGGCTCCAAGGCTACACAGAGAAACCCCTGTCTCGAAAAACCAAAGAGAGAGAGAGAGAGAGAGAGAGAGAGAGAGAGAGAGAGAGAGAGAAAGAGAGCACTGGCCGCTCTTCCAGAGGACACAGATTGGATTCCCAGCACCCACATAGCAACTCACAGTCTCCTTGGCCATTGCACCCACATGGTGCAAACACATACATGCAGACAAACACTCACACACATAAATTTTTTTAAAAAATGCTCAGTGAGTCTACATCACTGACTCTGTCCCCTCACCCACACAGGGCACAGATGTCATCACGCTTCTTAACACCGTGCACTATGACTCGGAACAGTTCAAGACGCCTCGGGAGTTCAATCCCGAGCATTTTCTGGATGCCAATCAATCCTTCAAGAAGAGCCCTGCCTTCGCTGGTAAGAGACGGAGTCACTGCTCTGGACTATAATCCTAACCTTACTCGCCAAGCCCTCTCGATCCCACGCCCTTCTTATCTCTGCATGCAGGGATTTCCCTTTTCCAGTTTGGCTCCTGTTGACACCCAGGTGGAAACCAAATTCATTAAGAATGGTTATTATCAGACTCGCCACTAGGTGGCGATGCTGGGTCTGCTTTTCCTTAACTACCCTGCCCGGCTGGCAGTGCCGGGAGAAGGGAGCCGGTAGGGAAGGGGAAAGAGAGCGGGAATCC